AAAAAAAAAAAAAAAAAAAAGAGAGAGAGAGAGAGAGAAATTGAAAGAAACAGAAGAGGAAAGGGAGAAAGGGAGAAAAGAGAGCCCCCAAAATCAAAAAAGTGGCTGCTGCATATGGAGTTCTCCCTGCCAGCCAGCCAGCTCCCCCAGCGCCTGCGAGCCTGTATTTTGGGGGAAGTATAGAGTCTGAAGTGAAGAGTTGAGGGAAGGAGCACTCGAGTTTCCGAGGGACATTGGAAAACGGAGCTGTCCGTCAAGTGGCTCATCTGCATAGCGCGGCGGGCCCGCCCCCGCGCCCGAGCCCGAGCCCGCGCCCGCGCCGGCCTCGCCGCCGGCCCCGGCCCCTCCCGCGGCCGGGGAGGGAGAAAGGGAGGCGGGCGGGGAGCGAGCCGGGGAGGGAGCGAGCGAGGGCGGCTTTGTAATGCACGCCAGCCTCTCCGGCAGCCAGCACGGAGCTGCAGCCCCGCGATGGAGCTGCCCGTGGCTCCGCCGAGCGCCGTGGAGGCTTTTTCACACGCTCTCCACTGCAGTCCCTCTTTTTATTATTATTTTTTTTTTCTTCCCAGGGGAAAAGAGAGAGAATTTATGTTTTTATTCTCTATGTATGTAAACTCACACCGCTTCTCGCACGCACTCGCTGCAGCTCTTGCAACTTATGCTGCGCACACACAGCACATACAGGCGCGCTCGCATGCCTGTGGGTACGTGCACACTCAGGCTCGACGGAGCCAAGCAGTAGTACGAGGTTAGAGCACTTCGTAAAAGTATTGCCCTATATGGTAGGAAAGAGGAACAACTGCTCAGATCAGCACTGCCAGGAGTGTGCTGTTCCTGGCACCACGAGCTTTCCAGTTTTATAAGTTGCCACAAAACATTCGAGATCTAGTCGTGGAGAGCGTTTGCATATGAGCAGAGAGAAACCCTGATCTCTGTTTCACTTCTATTCTTCCTGGTCTGGTGCTCGAAGAAGAGGCCTGAGTGACTCCTTCCGGGGAAGGGGGGCAGGTTACCCCCCACCCCCCCGCTCCGTTTTTCAGTTTAGATAAATCTCTCGGAATAGGCTCAGGATGTAATTAATTTCCCAAATAACGTAACCTCCCACCCCCGCCCCCGCTTCGTCCCTGGTCACCATCAGACCTTGGCAGCTCTTCTCCAGTCCAGATTATAAAAGGATGAGATGAAGGCATTGAACTTTTCTCTTTTATACTAATATAAATAAGCTCATATATCCTTTATACAAATATAAATAAACGCATATACGTGCGTGTGGATTGCTTTTTTTCCCCTTCAGGAAGGTTAGTCTAGAGGGACTGCTAGTAAAGCCCTGGTTAATCGCACATACTCGAGGGCTGGCCTTCTCCTCCCGGGACCTGCAGCAGTGTCCGCGCTCTGTCTTGCGGCCCCGATTCTCCCCGCTCCCCGCCGAGATTTCACTCCCTGCCCGCCCGCGCAGCCAGCGACCCGTCTGTCCTGCGGGCAGCGCGCAGAGGCTGCGCGGGCCGAGGCGCCCCCTGTGCGCGCGCGCTAGGCCGCTGCGCGGCCCCGGCCCGCACCTGCGACCGCCAGCGCAGGATGCGGCCGGCGGGGGCTGCTCCAGCCCCGCAGCCCGCAAGCGCCGAAGCGGCCCCACGAGCCCATCCGCTCGCATCGGGGGCCCCATCGGGAGGCCAAGAGGAGCCCCGAGAACTGCTGGAACAGTTCTTTGGGCTTGGACCAAAAATAAAAATAAAATTAAAAAGCCCCCATTTCAACGTCTGCAATGAGCATTAGCCAATATTTAACCAAATAAAGTCGCTTTTGCTTTTACACTCGATTTCTTCATAAAATAACTCGAGTAATTTGAATTAGCCAAGATGGAGAAAAAAGCACCACGTCGCAGTACGCTGAGGAACCAGCTCGCACCTGACAGAAAGGAGAGATGGCAATACTGAAGAATTATGGGTTAGCAGGGCAGCCTATTGTTAATCAATTAAACATGCAGCTAATAAAAAAATACACCTCGAGAAGGCATTTCCAGAGACTCGCGGACATAGCGGGAAAATTGCCGTATTAAAACTACGGTCAAGTATTGAGTCTGAACGAATTCGAGCTTTCTTTTTTCTGTATCATTTTTTATTCCTTTCCTCGTCTTCGGTGCAATCTACATACTAGCGTAGCCCTGTCCCTGTACGCAGCAGAAGAAATCTGGCTACCAGACATACTGGATTAATTCCTATCCAGAGCTATCAGCCGGCCTGTAGAAGAAGCAATCTTTAAAAAGGCAGGTGGGGGGGAGGAGGTTAACACCAACAGGTATTTCTTGTCATTAACTCTCCACTTCCTGATAACAGCGTGATAAACAACTGGTAAACTCAGTGCAAGAGATTACAGAAAAGACATTTGCTTCCTTACTTGGTGATTAATGCGCATATATTAAATAAAAATAGAAACGCTAAAAACAAGAATGTTTTATATAAAACACATTCATATTTCAGTAGTTCAGTGGGATAATCGATATCAGGCGATTACATCTGAATAGTCAATTTCGGTGCTCCGCAGAGTGAATTCTGAGTATATGAGCTCTGTCTCTGAGCGGAGCAACATCTGGAGAGCTGAGAATGCAAAATTAATTACAACATTATAAAGTCCTACAGGAACCTCTCTCAGTCAACCTGCGTGTCTTGCAAAATGTAGTATACTCCCCTCCATTATTTGGAAGCCCAGGCTGTACTTTGCAGCAGGGGTGTTGTAACTGAATGTTTATCTGCCAGAAACGATTGCTTTTAGTTCTTCCTCTTTAATAATTAGTGGAACAATACAGATTGGGAATACAATGGCCGTTGTGTTTACATTATAGCAAGGGATTAATGCTATTAAGTGAGTGTTACAGTTATGACTGGGAAGAGTACTTAAATAAATACCGTGATCCCAAGAGATTTGATATAATTCAGTTCAGAGTGTGTGTAGATACGCACAGACACACACGCGCACACAAGAGATACAAATCTCCATATATATATCTACACACATACATAGCTTATGCACGCTAGGTATACGTGCACTTCGGTATAAAATGTAGGTGTTGTTTTCTGCTTCATCTGCATGTCTTACGTCCCTAAAAAAAAGTATATATATATATATATATATTTATGATTTCAGTGACAACAATGTTTAAAACTGGAATGTAAGTTCCCTTCCCCCGAACACAAACAGCAACAGATTTTTTTTTTTTTTTTTTTTTTTAATACGGAAATGGAGGTTAATTTCGCAATCAAAGATTAATGGCGTAAAATATTATCATTTCAAAAGACAAGTTCTTGTGTTAGTTCCATTTGCATAATTTTTGTATGGCTTCAGAAAAACATGGATTTACCCACTGCTTGGAGAGAACATGCATTTTAATACACCACTAATTTGCCTCTGCACAAAGCAGAGAACGAAAAGTTAGCAGACTTAAATATAGCTGGTGGAGTGTCTGCGATAAACAAACCAGAAAACCTCGTCAATAATGTTTGGGTTTTTTTTTAAATATTGGTCAGTGTACGTGGCTGTATTTAACTTATCGGAGTTATCTCCGCTTGATTTGAATGCCTTGCGAAGGGAATAGGTTTTTCATCTGTCGGGCTGAAATCTAATTTTCCCCCAGCACTACCCGTTACTAATAAAAAGTCGTCTAACTTGCACAATTAAGCAGCAGAATAGCAGTAATACGTGCACTTTTTACTGATAATAACTATGACAAATTAAAATGTCTATACAGAGGCGTTAAGATGGTACACAGTGCGTCTTTATTTGAATAACCTATGCGGTTGTTCGGCGTTTACCTTCCTAGGTTTTAAGCGGTGCTCCCCGCTTTGCTCCAAGCACAGTTGAGCAAGCAGCCGGGAACCTCCCAACCTCTGCCTGTTTAGCTCTCGCTCACTGACGTCCTGAGAGACAGGTTTCGCGGTCTGACATTTATTAGGTACCTCTCTCCCTGCACTAGTGACAGTGGCTGAATTTGCTGGGCGAGCGAAGTTGCAAGCCCCGTCTGTGGACATTGCCCGCATGCCGCTCTTGCGAAGTGTGATCCTTCTTCTTTGTGCAACAGCTGCGTGAGGTTCTGCCGGGGACTTGTGCGTTTGGAGACTACTTACATAGGATCCCAATCTCTGAAATTTTATTCAGATAAAAAAAAAATCTCACTGCCATAAGTGAGAGGTTTTCTCTATCCCTGTGGTCCAAGAGCTGCACATCCCTATTACTTGGACAACGCCGCTTACCCCATGGTCATGATACTGGTCACTGCAACTTTTCTAAGCAGAGCGAAGCGAAACTTGGTGAGGTTTTAAGATGCAATGCAATGCGCAGCAGAAACGGTTTCCTGTGACATAACCACACAATGGTCTGGGAATGCCTTCTCCTTTCTCTCATGAAATGGGGGATCGCTACCATCTCTCACAGACAGCGACGTGAAATAATAGACTATTGTCTTTAAAAATAACAAAAGACACACGCATGCTATGCAAGCGGAGTTGTCCAGTTTTCTAGTAAAAAGCAGTCGTCTGGCTTGCGATGCTCTTTCGGAACGTGGTGTTTTGCAGGAGGAACCCGTGCGAGTGAGGGCAGACGAGATGAACTGGAAAACCTTTCTGCCGCACGTCTGCTTACAGGGTTAAAGGAAATCAGAAGAAAGAACTTTTCTCTCTCCTTTAAGATAAAATTTTTAATTCAGGCTGTGCATGGGAGGGGGCGCTGTGGCAATGAATTCTTCGGCGCTCCAGCGCAC